CCCGTCCACCTGGGATGATCCAAGACGGGGAGGACATCTGAGCTTGCTTGCTTCATTTCTTTATTCCGCGCTTATCTCTTAGCCCCTGTATGCTGAGCACTAGAGATCGGAAAGACTAGGGCACAGGGTCTCTCCTCTAGTAGGTTAAAGTTGATCTTCATAATTTGCAGATTCCATATTTGCAAATCCACCTACTTACTAAAATTTATTTGCAACTTCAAAATCAATTACCCGTGGCACATTTGCAGTCATTTGTCGATATGCACAGAGTGGGGACGTTTTGAGTCCCTTAACACAAACACACATTCCCAGTTGAGGTCAAACAAAGCAGTGGTCTGCTCTCCTGTTGCAGCTCGCATACTGGAAACAAGTATGCTTCTCACAGTCTGTTTAGTGCCACATTCTTCATATTTCTGTGCTGTTTGTCGGTGATTTCACTATTTTAAATGGTCCCAAATGAAATGGCCCCAAATGAAGTGGTCAAAAGGTAGAAACTTTCAGTTACAAAATAAATAAGTCCTGGATTTGTAATGTATGGCATGGTGATGATCCTTAACAATGCTGCAGTGTAGATTTCAAAGTTGCAAAGAGAGTAGATCTTAATGGCAACTATGCGTGGTGATGGATGTTAATTCACTTACTCTAGTCATCATTTCACAACATATACAGGTTGTACACCTACAGCTAATACAATGTGATATGGTAAATATGTCTCCATTTTTAAAACTAAACAAATAAAATGGCCTCCCTAGTACACTGTTGAAATGCAGCCTAGTGTTCTAAGGGCAAAAGGTTGTGATGTGCTTATGGGGAAATTACAAGTTTTAGGTAAGTTGCCATTAAGCATGAGTTATAATGGTGTTGGTCATGAGTTCAATGTTAATGAATCCATGATTGGACACATTCAGGAAAAGGCAGGAAGTTTGCTGATCTGCATATATGTCTGCTCTGCAAAATGCTAAAGTAATATCTATAGTACATGTTGACGGTATGGAAAAGTGGCTGAACTCATGAATTCATGAAATGACAGCTGATTTCTTTAAAAGAAAACCCCAACATAGTGGATAGCATTGTGGGGTTGGAAGCCAAGGCAATGTATGATAATATTAGCCAGAGTCAGGAAAATGTTAAACCCTTCCCAGCTAGTGTTTTCTTATCCAGAAATAGTGCATGAAATTAATTATTTATAAGAAACATTAAATTAGGTGTCTTCAGAGAGAAGTATACATAAATCAAGTTTATGTATCGATCTATTGATGTGTTGTGACCAGAGGCCCACAGGAGCCTGACCCCATGGTTCCCCTAGGAGCAATGGCTCAGTATTTACTAATCTGATGTTTGCGGTGACTTTACAGAGCTATCAAAAATAGCAGAGACTCCACTGTGTATGTAGTATGGGAAAAAGACAGGTAATCAACGATCGCTCTACAAAGCGATCAACATGAAGATAGCCTCCTGTACAGGGTTCTGGGGGGACAACATGGATGTGACCAGGTGACTCGTTTCCACATTTAAATACCTTTTTTCTGTAAAAATTTTTGAAAAAAAATTTTACATTTTTGCCTTTTAAATTATTTGTCTATGAGCAATACTTACGATTTATGATTAGCTATGATTTCTTCACAATCGTCAGGAAACCTTGCAAAGTGAGAAAAATCCACCCCAAAAATCATTTTCAACTGTAATTAAAGCTTTATGAGTTAAAAATTTCACAACTAATGAAGTATATATGATGTTATGTTTGGTAGACAATTACATATTTATGATTGTCAGGGTCAGTTTTGCATTTTTTTAAAATTTTATAGCCAATATTGTGTTGTTTGTTTCAACTTTTTTTAGGCTTTGAAAAAGTTCATATTCCTTGGTCACCAAGGGAAGATCCAGACTTTAGGGACCCTGAAACTTATGCAATTTGGGGGCTCTTCTAAGAAAAATAACAAAGTTATAAACACAAAATTGGGCCCTTTAGAAGAGGCATCATTGTCTTCCTGGTAAACCTGCCTCTGTTAAGCACTTACAGCCTATTGGATAAAACAACCTCTGCAGAGCCCACTCTGGGTACAGGAAGACCAGGGAGGAAGCTATAGCAATAGTTGAAGAAATAGAAGATGGAAGTCCAAATCCAGGATAGAAAGGATGGGAGATATACAAGAGATATTTAAGAGGCTGATCTGACAGGATATAGCATTTGATGAAGAAGGTGTCAGAGGGTGTCAAGAATGCATACTGACACTTAATGATGACTTGAATGAGCCAGACAAGGGACTGCAGAAGGGAATAGGAGTGGTTGGGTGGAGCATGTTTGGAAAATAAATGAGTTTCGTTTTAGAAATATCAAGCCTGAGGTGTCAGTGAACCACCCCCAGGTACCACAGGGTGCATTCCAGATGGAGGTGTATGGAAGTCAGTGTGCGTACATCTGGGGTTCAAGAGAGAGGACCAACCATATTCCAGGATGCACAAGACAGCTGTTGGCATGTGAGTGGTCGCTGAAGTTGATGATATCTCCCAGGGAAGTGCATACATGAATGAGAGACACATGATAGAGAGGCACCCTGGGGAACATCAGCTTTCAGAGGTAGAGATGGACAGAAAAAGGAAGAAGAAAGAGTACCTGCAGGTGCCACACACCATGCAAGATGTTGCGGGTTAGAGAAAGCTGAGTCAGGCACAGAGGTTTTCGGCTGGGGCTGGGGTCAGGGAGACAGGCAGCTGGAGCATGGAGGGCGGGCACAATTCCAGATGAGGGAACTGATGAGCAAAAGAACCAAGCTAGAAAACAAGTAAATAGCAAGCAGCCCATTCTGAATATAGTTAGAGAGACAGAGAGAGACGGAGAGAGAAACAGTGTGAATATGATAAATTGGAATTAAATTATGGATGGGCTTTCAAAGCCAAAATAGGAGGTTTAACAGTGGCAGCCTCTGATGATTTTTGAGCAGAGGGATTTTACAGTCAGGGCTGAACATGAGGATGCGTTCTCTAGCGGATTCGCATACAAGTGGCATTGCAGAGACCAACATCGAGATTCTTATAGAACCAGCCAGAAGTAAGGGGGCCTGAACTCAGAGAGTTGCCATAGAAATACAGAGGAGGGAATAAAAGTGAATGATAGTTTCTAAAGGAACTCCTGGGATTTGACTGACAGGTAATGATGGGTCCTATGAGTGAGTAAGGAAAGACGGAGCCCAGGTTTGGAGCCCTGATGGCTAGGAGGCAAGTAAAGCATTTACTGAAATTGGTCTGTAAGAATATGAACCTGCAAGCTCTTGTGCCCAGAGGGAAAGAATATAACCGTGAATGCGACAGAGCGATGTCACTGTGATTGCTCCTCCCTGGGACCTGCAGGTGGCTTGTGTTCCCGCAGCTCAGTTCACAAGGCTTCACACTGTAGGTTGACAGGAAGGTCAAGTCAGCCGAATGCCCACGTTTCTCTATTCCACAGTTTGCTTTGTTCTTGTTCGCTTATTGTTGTTTAATCCTAAACTACAACTTGGTTTTCATCTGGTGGCATTTCACCTGGTTGGGTTTTGCCCCAACATCCACCTTGGTTGAGCTTTTTTTAAACTTTTCTTTGTCTTCCCTGAAGGTAGCTGCTCGGGTTTTGTCTAAGAACAGCCCATGCCTCTCATGTTCGCTAATATGATGGAAGACAGAGGGGCATCTTTCCAGACTCTTTACAAGTTCTCATCTGATGTAGATCAACTTGAGATAGCTAAGAAGGTCAGGAAATAGGGACAGAGCAATGGAGGAAGGGAGTGGGGCAGATGATGTTTCCTCTCAGGTCCTGGGGACTGCCTCCTGGTGACTTCACTGCCAGGTCCTCCAAAGAACTTGCTAGGACTCCAGGGTAGCCGCCCTTGGAATTCCCACCTGAAATTGCCTAGAGCTGCTTCTTCCTGGAATCACTCCTGGTATTTGTGGGAAGGCTGCTTTTAAAAGCCTCCTTCTCTCTCTCCTTGGGGATGTAGTAACCTGCATCCGGGAACAAGCCACAAAATTTGCAGGGACCCTTATTCAAAACTTATTAAGAATTTCAAGATGGCAGCATCAGAGCACTGAACCAAGTGTAGGCTCTTCTGGAGAAGAGCCCGTGTGACCAGAGAGGTCACTTTCCCACCAAGCCTTGCCGATGGCTGAGTGTCAGCGCTTCACGAGATGGGATTTTACTGCACATGCGCACTTCATCCTGGCTGAGGGCACACACATCCACCCGGCAGCACCCTCATTCCACCCTACACATTTTCCATCTGCTCATCACAGATTTTCCACACCCTCTGCTCAGCTGCTCCCGAGCCTGTTCTCACGGTTTCCCCAAGGAGATGCCTCTCTACAGAAGGATTCTCTTTCTGTTTCTCTACTTAATTCATTCCAGCTCCTCTCCCACAAATCTTTTTCAGGCTTCAGTAAAAGAGATGGCAGCCTTCTGGGTGAGATTTGAATATTCTCACCCAGTCACTGGAGCCACAAAATGAAAAAGATGAAGTATGTCTTTTGCTTGACACCACTATTGAGGTACAATTCCAGTGTGAAGCGTAACCCAGGAAGTGGCTTACAGCTGAGATTTTCTTCCTGGAGAGGAGGGTCTGGGGCAGCCTGGGGACATCCTTATATTTGCAAAATCCCACTTGACAACAGTCCTGCTCTTTAGCACATGGATGTTGTGGTCTTTATTTTTACCTAGATGAGGAAACTGAAGCCCAGAGAAGTTAAATGACTTTTCAAGGTCACACATCTAGGAAATGGCACTGTCAAAACTAGAACCCACACCTTCTGAAGCCTGAACCAGCCCGTTTCCCTCTACACACACTGTGGAGAAGCCCAGTCCTCCCACTCACCATTACTTCTGTCTACAGTGGGGCATTTTATAAGCCAAAGCTTAAGGCTTTGAAGCAGCTTTTATCCTATGTGTACATAAAAGAAATCGACTGTGATTTCTGCTTTCCTCCAAAAGGTAATGACTTCCCACCTAATTTTTATTTCTTGTTCTCACTCTTCAGGGACAACCCTGCTACCCAGTTTAACCTCAAGACTCATATGAATTCCCAAGATGTGAAAGCAGCCATAGAGAAAATTACCCAGAGAGGAGGGCTGTCTAATGCAGGTATGTGATCAATTGGGTTCAGATCATTCTATCTTGCTACCGTGGTTCTCTTGCTATGTGATTGTCTTCCAATGTTGGATATAGAAAGAGGGGGAAAAAATCACAATCCATCAAGAAACGACTCACACAATATCTGTGTCTTTTCTGAAGTATTGTCATGGATGCCGGGGGCAAGAACCATTATCACACATATACTGGAGAGTTCTAGCACGCGTGGTTCCTGGGGGAAGCAGCTTTCTTCAGGACAAGCAGGACTGCTATTGTTACTGTGTCCTGATTGGTCTACAATCATCAACTATTTAACACTGAACTTCATAACCAGTTTCATTCAGGAAGCTTCACAGTACCCCTTGGGAATCTTATTCCAATCAGCTCCTGTTATAGTGATGACTATACAAGGAGACACATGTTTTTTGCTTTGAGCTATCTCTAATGATGTCTGAGCTTTAGGGGAAGGTTGGGTACCAGAAGTCCAAGGTCTTGTTCTCAGCTGGGCAGACCCAGAAACTCCATTTTATTAGTTCACTCAGAGGTGACTAGGCATTAAGAAAGAGTTTCACACTAACCAAGCTCAAGGGCTGTCTGTTAGCCATGCCAATGTATTAATTTATAAATGGTGTCTGGCTTTGGGGGCACAGGGAGGGTTGAGTATCTACTTCCCAGGGAACCTGTTCCTACCGTCAGAGTCCAAGGAAGTGGAGAAGTGAGCCACAGTTACTCAGCATGGGGCACACACAGGAAAATAAACTCTAGCCTGAGTTTCCAAAGATGGCTTCTAAAGGCTTCCTGCAGACCGAAGACCTCCAAGGACCTGCCTGCTCCAAGATTAGGCAATCACTTTCTCAATTCTGCCCCCACAATATCTTCAGGAATCTGCTTCAGCCAGGACCAGGAAGCTTCTGATACAGATGCCAGCTCCAAAACCTCGCCTTGCCTGTACCATTCACACCCACAAAACAGATGTTCTGCGCGTTACCTCAGCCAACAAAACTGGTGACCAAACATAGGCACCTCCGCTAGCCCTGACCCAGGGAAGTCAAACTCTACAGATACTTGTCAGCAGAAACAGCAGAATCAAAAGTACAGTCTTTGCCTCACATGCATCTTCTAAATCTCATGCGTGTGCATCAATTCATGAAACCAAAACAAATCCAGAACTGTGGTGGTGAGGGTGTCTCAACAATGTAATTTTCAGACTTCCAGCCTCTGCTTTCAAGACATGCTGGAAGGTGGACAGAATGTGTGTTGAGCACTAATTGACCATGACCTCCAAATTTAAGATTGAGAGAGGTCAAGATGATCTTCTATGACTCCTTGTACTCAGTCTGCAGGCATCTAACATTAAGCCAGAGGGGACTGCTGGGTGTCTTGAACCTTGCGGGTAATTATGCCTTGGCTTTGAAAGCAGTTCTCAGCAGCCAAGGTTTTCCCTTAGCGACTATGTTCTATGCAGCCAGTTCACATGGGTTTTCCAAGACATTTATCCAGCCACTGAGTAGGTGGCCATTTGATCCTTTCATTTAACAGGTAAGATTATAGTAGCCAGGGAGCCAGGATGCTGGCCCAAACCAGAAAAGCATTAAGTGTAATCAGATTAATCCTAAAGTCTTAAGAAGGTGGTTCTTAACTTTTATTTAGATTGAGAATCTCCTGAAAGCTATGACCCTTCTACACAAATAGATGCTTATACACACAACACATTGTGTACTTTCAGGGGATTTATGGATACACACCCCCAGTGCCCCAGGGGTTCGCAGTACCCAGGTTAACAGCCCTGCCTTACTATATGTATCTATGCTGGCTGTAGGGTGACCAGTAATCCCAGTTTTTCCAGGAGCATATGGACCTTCGATGCTAAAACTGGGGAAGTCCTGGCAAACTGAGACAATTGGTCACCCCAATTGACTCGAAACATTTCCTGAGGCCCTTGACAGTGTGACACATGTGCTTGGGAAAGGCATGCTGGAGGCTTTGTTAAACCTCACAACCCTTACTCTCAGCCGAGGCATATTGTTGCCATGGAGATCTAGGCACAGAGACGTGGCGTGATATACCTGGGCCACATAGCCAGTGGGCGGCATAACCAGGTCTAAAACACAGTATCTCAGCTCTTAGTGGGTGCAGGGCTTCCCTGGTCAGCCAAACCTGTGCCCCTGGCATGGAACTGAGCAAAAGATACCACTGAACCCAGAATACAGCCCTCCAACCCAGCACCTCCTGGAGCACCTGGCTCACCCCAAGCTGCAGGAGGCCAAGCAGAGGCTCCTGTCACTCAAGGTCAACTCCTCCCACCCCATGCTCTGAGACAATATGAGCCAGCTCAGCGGCTTGGCGGGGTTCCAGCACCCAGGCAGGGAAGGGACCCTTTTGTTTCCATGAAAGTCAATTCTCACCTGCTTGCTGGTCCTTAAAACTTGTTTTTAAATATGAGAGAATTAGAAGTTAAGGGCTTAAAGTGAACCAGCGAGGGAAATGGGTAGTGATGACGGTTGCACAACATTGTGAATGTACTTAATACCACTGAATTATACACCTAACAATAGTTAATGTGGTAAAAACAAAACAAAACAAAAACAAACAAACAGGGAGGGAATGGGAGTGTGTTTCTGGATCTCTTCTTGCTGCTACAATGTATTCCTATAATTATAATTGGCAGAATCACTCCATAATCATGCATGAGTTTCCTTTTCCTTCCAGGCCGGGCCATCTCCTCGGTGACCAAGAACTTCTTCTCCAAAGCCAATGGAAACAGAGGCAGTGCTCCCAATGTCGCAGTGGTGATGGTGGACGGCTGGCCCACGGACAAGGTAGAGGAGGCTTCCAGGGTTGCAAGAGAGTCAGGAATCAACATTTTCTTCATCACCATTGAAGGTGCCGTTGAAACTGAGAAGCAGTACATGATGGAGCCCAACTTTGCAAACAAGGTATGGAGCTGCAGGGAGATCCACCCAACGTAAGGATGCCCTGCGCTTTGCAAAGTTGTAACAGACACCCAGGCGAGTTTCTCATTTCTTCAAACGGGTGTGAAGCTCACTTCTAGGCAGGAGGGCCTCCAGTGAGGGACAGGGACATCTGGAACCTGAAATTACCCTCTCAAAGCAAAACCACACAGGCAGCTGGTGAACTGAGGCCAGCACCTGGGAGGAGCAGTGTCCCCAGGGTCTCACACAGAGGCTCTACCAGGCTCCTGTTACAGCACAAAAGACCTCAACAGGCCGCCCAGTGAGCCTTCATGCGAGCATACACATAGGCACACACACATTCGCTCACACATGTGCGTGTATGCACACACACTGCAAATTCACCAATCTAATAAACAAGGAAAGGGTGGTATTGAACCAGGTCAGGGAGATCATGTTCTCAAACACTGCTCCTGGCCACCTACTGTGACCCCCACACAGGCCCTATGCTCCAGCCACTGGTGTCCTGGCCATGCCCAGCACCACTGCTGCCTCCTCCATCATGACTTTACTAAGGCTGGCTCGTGGGAATCCCTCCTCTCCATCCATCAGCTAGCATTCAGCTCAGCCTCAACACTCCTGTCACATGTCATCTAGTCCATGGAAAGTCCTGTAAACCACACTGAGGTTTCTATAAACCAATTCAAGAATATTTCCTAGGACATTTTTAAAGTCATTTCTTGTTTTAAAATAATTTTTTAATTATACAAGTTCATCTGGAGTCATCAGGTCTGTGATCCTCTCTGTGACCCCTGGAGAGACAACAGCAAGGAGGAAACACTAGCCCAGTCCTTTCCGGGAGAACACCAACCAGTAGCTCAGTGTTGATTTACAGTCGCCTTACATTTTTTTCTGGAACAAGCTTGGACACAAGTAAATAAATATTCATATTTGCCCAGAGGCAGGGTTGTCTGGAAGAGAGTGCTTGGGTTTTAAAGGCAGCGAGAGCTGTGTTCCAGTCTCAGGGACTCAGGGATCTCCCTTCCCAGCTGGCCCTTGGTTCATTCCTTTATAACAGGGGGTTATAATTCCAACTTGTAGGATGAAGGTGGGGGTTTAATGAGAGACTCTCTTATTACTGGGTACAGGGATGCTCTGGAAACATTTCTGTAGCTATTTCTTGCATGCGGCTTGTTTTCCCAATCAGGACAAAAGCTTTCTTTAATCCTCTCACGCGCTGGTGCCTACCAGTGCCAATCTAATGGCTGGCTGCCAGCCCAAATGAACCAAGGAATTTGCAGAGGCATAAATAGGGAGTTATAACCAGGGCTTCACCTCTCCCTTTGGATTTGCTTAACGGATGGCTCTCCACTAAACAGAGACTCAGCTGAAGGAGTAGGAGTGAGTCCAGAGATAACGTGAGGGGTTTCTGCCCCAGCGAGCACCTAACTGGGTGAAGAAAGAGCCGTAGGAGAAGTAGCTAGTGCAGAAACAAGAGCCTGTTTGCTTCTTCCCCTGGTCAAGGGTAACAGTGACAGACAGGAGAATTTAACCCCTGACCTTGGCAAGTGTCCCTCCCTCTGTCTTCCAGGCTGTGTGCAGGACCAATGGCTTCTACTCGCTCAGTGTGCAGAGCTGGTTCAGCCTCCACAAGAGCGTGCAGCCCCTGGTGAAGCGGGTCTGCGACACGGAACGACTGGCCTGCAGCAAAACCTGCTTCAACTCAGCTGACATCGGCTTTGTGATCGACGGCTCCAGCAGCGTGGGAACAGGCAACTTTCGCACAGTTCTCCAGTTGGTGGCCAACCTCAGCAAAGAGTTTGAGATTTCAGACACAGACACACGCATTGGGGCTGTGCAGTACACCTACGAGCAGCGGCTGGAGTTTGGGTTCGAGGCGTACAGCACCAAGCCAGATATCCTCAATGCCATCAAGAGGGTGGGCTACTGGAGTGGTGGGACCAGCACAGGGGCCGCTATCAACTACGCCCTGGAGCAGCTCTTCCAGAAGTCCAAGCCCAACAAGAGGAAGCTAATGATCCTCATCACCGATGGGAGGTCCTATGATGACGTCCGAATACCGGCCATGGCTGCCCATCACAAGGGTAAGCCGGCCTTACTGACCCGTCTGGCGCTGAGCGCCCCTCTGTGGCTCGGCGGGCCAATGGGAGGAGGAAGGGGCTGTCTTTTATGTGCATCGGCTTTGTCTACCCCTTAATAGAATGTTCAAAACCACAGGGAGGGGATGAGGGGTGTGGTTAAACACTGCAGGCCCCTCTGAGCAACAAAGAAGGAACAAGGCAGGGAGCACCAAGGTACTTTCCAGGGTCGTGACAAACCCAAGGCCTGCGGACAACAGGGAACATCTACCCTCCTTCACACCCTACACTGCGAGTCATTGCATAGGAAGGTGGGACACATTAAAAAGGGATTGGACTCATTATTTTAATCTCTAGTGAAGACCACCGAATTATGTTAGACATTGGAAGAAAACTAATGTTTTAAAAGAAAAGCACTATTTTTGTAAGCAACTGCTAACCAGGCGTTGGGGGCTTGGAGGAGACCTCAAAGAAATTTTCATTCAAAATATCTAAAGAGATATTTCCATATATAAAAATTTGTAAGAGGGCAACAGAAAGTTTAAAACCATGAGGGGAAAAAAAACCCAATATATTTTTGTAAATGTTTAGAAAATCAGCCACGTTCAATGTCTCTTTCATAGAATCTATGTGAAAATATCACATATTTTCATATCAGAAAATATCATGAAAGTACAACCTGAAGAAAACCCCAAACGATAGTAATAACAGTAATGATGACAATAAAAGTAAACCACGTGGCCAATGAACACCAAAGACCCATAGATAAGTACTAGTGAACAAGGTTCACTCAGGGCAGGGGTTGTTTTCTTCTGTTTTCTTTCATCTTCTTAATTTGGGTTAGTTTGCAGGATTTTCAGTATTCTTTGAAGCTGCTGTTAATCTTTCCTGAAACAAGGAGGGGTAAAAATAAACAAACAAGCCTTAAAACAAACCAGCAGTCTGGCTTCTAGAAACCAAAGTAACCAGACACCAGGTTCATGCAGAGCTTTCCCAGTGGTTTGCCCCCGTGGGGCGTACTCGTAATGGTGGGATGTTAGATGGCCTGTGTGTCAACAGTCACAGTGTCCCTTTGGCCCATGTCACCAAAAGGAAGATGGTTTAAGGCTCAGAATCAACCTGCCCAAAGTTCCAAAGTGAGCGACAAGCCCGAGGCTCGCCTGCTTTCTCCACACATCTGTCCCCAGCTCATGTTCAGCTCCACTCTCACTTTCTGGGCTTCACGCAGAGGGTGTCCTTGGCCTTCCCATCAGGAGAAGTGCAGACTGGAGGAGATGTCCTGGGAGCCGCCATCAGGGCTGTCAGGAGCAGCTCGAAGAAACTAGGACCAATAGATGCAAATTACATGGTGGCAACGAGCATTGTGTCCCTGCCAGAACTGCCCATACAAGGTCTTCTACAACAAGCGTAAACTCAAGGATCTGAAAAACCAAATTTCTAACTGTTTGCATTGTCTTTATTGGGGTGGGAAGAGGGCAGCCTTTCCATTCTTTGAGCAGAAATGTGGGCTGAGTCAGTCTAAGCCAGCCCTGTTCTGCAGCAAAGCTGTTACTCTGCCACTGCCAGTGTTTTCAGGACCAAAGCTGGATCTTCCCAATGTAGGCAATATTCAAAGAAGACACCAGAGCGGTAAGAGAAGGGACTGGAAGCTTAAATGCAGTTAATGAGCCGCAGTTTAAAAGGAGTGTAGATCAGAACCATGTGAGGTGTGGATGGCTCTCCAAGCAGCAGGACAGGACACTGTGGGTAGTTGGGGGAAGAGACACCTGGGCAGGAAGGCCATACCCAGGCTCTGCCCTCTGCTGCATGGCCATCTTGCTCACCCCTCTCTTGCCAGCATGAACGTGGCATGAAGAGTAAGGTCATGTGCCTGCTGACCAGCTGCCCCCAACACAAATCAAGAAGCGTACACCAGGCCGTCTCCCAGTTTTTCCATTGAGAATAGATGCCCCGCCTCTGAATCTGTCCTCTGCTTCCTGGGGTATCTTGCTCCCTTATACTCTATCCCATTTGCATCTAGACATCCTCGAGTCTCTCTTTTCCTAAAAAATAATAATAAAATAAAATTCTCTTTGGGCCTGTGTTCTGCTCCAATTACCCCCTGCCTCCTCTCCTTTATGGGCACACTTCTGGCAAGGATTAGCTTTCCATGCGTCCCTACATTGTTATTCCTTTTTCACTCTCAACTCACAGCAATTCCTTGGGTTTCTTGGGCATCTGCTCCTCTGAAACTGCTCTCTCCAAGCTACCAATGTGTTGTTTTGACTTTTTCTAAATCCAATGAGCACTTTTTTGTTTTCATCTTTTGTGACCTCCCTGCAGCATTCAGCACTGTTGGTCACTTCCTTGAAACCCTTTCTTCATGGCGGTTTTGGAGCAGATGTCGGTGGCTGTCTCTCCAGACCCGTGTGCAAGGGTTCCTGCACAGGGAACGAACTTGGCTTATAAAGTCACCCACAAGCCTAAAGCAACTCAATTCCACTGTTTTAGTGAAAATGGCTTTGAACTGACTTTTGATGCATTTAAGGCTCAGATTTTGTTTGGCTAGGCACACAGGTAGAGCAGGCCAATGCCATGTGGTGTGATCTGTATGGCACCAAACATTTCACTTGTTCCAAAATATCATCCCTTTTGCTGTCCCTGGATATGAAATTCTTATCATGCATTTGCTCCATTTTGTCTGGTTTTTTTTTTTCAACTCAAAAGACTATACCCTCTTATGAGACACCAACTATATTAATTTTGTTTCTGTTGGTACATAGCGGATGTTCATGATTTGGGGCACATTTTTTATTTTGGATTTGGTGGCATTCCCAACAGAGCAACAGGAAGTCAAGGATTCATTAGCAGCCCCTTTACTTGGGCACATTTGCTTCATCTAAACTTTGTCCCCACAGGAGTGATCACCTACGCAATCGGTGTTGCCTGGGCTGCACAGGATGAGCTAGAAGTCATCGCCTCTCACCCAGCCAAGGACCACGCCTTCTTTGTGGATGAGTTTGACAACCTCTATAAATCTGTCCCCAAGGTCATCCAGAACATTTGTACAGAGTTCAACTCACAGCCTCGGAACTGAATTAAGAGCAGGCAAAAAAGCACCAGCAAATGCTGCTTTCCCGACTGGCTCTGGGAAAACACCCAATGCATCATGGGGCAGCAAGGCACGCAGGGCTTGGGGAATGATGTATTATTATGCTTTGCCAGTGTGGCTTTTCATACTTCAAAGCTTGGAGTTAGAAAGATGCTCATAAATTTGTAGAACGAGCTGAAGTGATACATCCTTTGGAGGGTGCTGGGGATTTTACATTTTGACGATTGCTTTCAAAATAACTATTCAGAATAGAGTACAGCACTGATAACAGGCTTATCCAAAGCTTTCGTGAGATTGTTGTTGGTTTTTTTAAAATTTTTATTTCTCATCAGAATTCTGTAACCCTCAACAAGTTTCATTTTTGTCATGACAATACAGGAGTTGCTTAATTAAATATTTAAAAGGATTACACGTGATCATTCTGACTGTGTCATGGGCAGTGGTCATAGAACTTGTGGCAGGGCCACCCTCTGCTCTTTTTGTTTCCTGGAGCACTTGCTGGGCACTCACTGCTGGCCGGAGGTGACGACACACACGGGGGTGCAGAGGAAATGTGGCAGCAGCATAGCTGCTCCTGATTTACCTCCTTCTTTTCTCTTATCTGAATCACCATTTCCTAACTTCTAGCTTTAGGAGCAGCAGGGGAATGGCTCTGGAGAACCAAACAGACCTGGCTTAAAAGTGGTGCACTAGGCTAGTACACACGCTGTCAGCCCAAGCTGCACATTAGAATCACATGGAGACGAAAATGCTGGTTCCCAGGTCCTGTCCCAATACCAGCGAAACCTGAGCCTCTGGGAAAGAAGCCTGACCTTGGCATGTTTGTAGAGCTCTCTGGTGATGTCGAAATGCTGCCAGGATTGAGAATTACTGAGCTACCTCTGAGCACTCACTGTTATTGATGTTTCCTGGGAGAGCCCCTGCTTATGCCTGTTGTTGTGGAGCCCATCCAGTTTAGCATTTGTCCTGGGTTTTTCCTTTGCTAACTAGATATTATTAATGGTTGCATTAAAAGAAGCCAGGGTGGGTTTGGTTGAACTCTTTTTATTTCCAGCCTCTGCCAAAAACTCATGTGTTAGGATGTGAAAGACATGTGCAATTAGGAAACATTTAAAAGAATCATACAGGGCTGGCTGAGTGGCGCGTTGGTTAAGAGTTGGCATGGGACACCAGCTCTGAGCAGCAAGGCCCCGGTTCAGATCCCACATTAGGGCCAATGACGCTGCACCCTCTACAGCTAAGATGGTGAACAACAGCTCAACCTGGAGCTGGGCTGCTGTGAGTCGCTGGTGACGGCATAGGCTGTAGTGAGGCTGGCCAGCAGCAGGCGTGAGCTTTCGTGAGCTGCCATGAGTGGCCATCCAATGGCCGGTGAGCGACTGCCTCACCTGTAAAAGCGCAATGATAATACCAACATGGGCTAGTGAAGTGATGTCCTCCACAACTAGACTGAAGAACAAAAAGACAGCAATTGTCTGTTCCCCTTCCCCAATTCCTCAATGCTGTTCTCCTCCCCCAATTCCCCAATAAAATCTTTAAAAAAAAAAAAGAATCATACACAGAGATGACTTATTTGACAAGTTAGTTTTTGTGAAAATGTGTGTTGAACAATGCTACTCTGAATGAAGACAAAAAGACAGCAACTGTGTCAATGCTTGGGACAAAAGATTTACATAAAAAAAGTTGAATTGAAGATATCATCTATTTAGCAGAATTTTCATAGAGCTTACCAAATCACTCAGGACTTGGAGAGAATATATCATCAATTAAAAATGTTGTGATCTATAGAAAAGAATCAATTAAATGTGTCAGCAATTTTAAACTTATTAACCACAAATTTTACTTTGAAGGCAATTGCAAACAAATATGCTCAAAAAATTTAAAATACAGGGCTGGCCGAGTGGCTCAGTTGGTTAAGAGCGCAAGCGCTGAGCAACAGGGTCCCCGGTTCGATTCCCACATGGGCCAGTGAGCTGTGCCCAAGCTGAGCTGCCACTGAGCTGCAAACAGGTGGCAGGATGGCTCAGCTGGTGAGAGCACATGCTCCTAACAACAAGGTTTCTGGTTCGACTCCCGCATGGGATGGTGGCCACCTGGAACTAAGATTGAACATGGCACCTTGAGCTGAGCTGCCCTAAGCTGCCGACGGGTGGCCGGATGGCAACTGGACTTGGATCTAAGCTAGCTGCACCCTCCACAACTAAGATTGAAAGACAACAACTTGGCTGTTACCCTTCCCCAATTCCCCAACAGTGTACCCCTTCCTTAATTCCCCAATAAAATCTTCCAAAAAAAATTTTAAATACAAAAACTATTTTCAAAATGGAAATTCTTTTTTGATTTCAAAGATACCAGTGATACACTATTAGTGACAAATTCCACTAAGAAACTAAAGAATTTAAATAAGTACTAGGAATAATTATTTTGCCTATACTTTTTGAATGTGTAGATAATTGATATAAAGGAGTTTTTTCAGTGTCACTTCACATACACAATTTAATTTTTTTAAGAAAAATTTTCTTTTGGAAATAGTTTTGGAATACAATTATTTTATAGGGGCCTTAATATAAAACCAATTTGTCATCAATAAGTAAATATTTCCAAAAATAATATAATTGTAATGATTTACAAAATTCACAAAATTGTCTCAGATTTGAAAATAAATTATATGGTCACCCTAGTTATTAGATATTATGATTTTGAAGATAAATGAAACCTCCTCAAATGGGCTTGTTGTCTATATGTTGTCAATAGATATTTGCGTTTGGAGGAAAGCATCATGAGAAATGAGGTGGTTAAGGTGCTCAGAGGCTATATCATCAGAATCATATATGTCAGCGGTTCTCAACCTTCCTAATGCTGCGACCTCTTAATACAGTTCCTCATGTTGTGGTGACCCCCATCCATAAAATTATTTTCGTTGCTACTCTATAACTGTAATTTTGCTACTGTTGTGAATTGTAATGTAAATATCTTTTTGTTTTCCGATGGTCTTAGGCGACCCCTGTGAAAGGGTCATTCGACCCCCAAAGGGGTCGTGACCCACAGGTTGAGAACCACTGCTCTATGTGGATGTCCAAGTCACTAACGATAATGACAGGAGTGAGGATGGAGAGAGAAGTCGTGATCCAAGGTCTGGTATGTTATGTGAATGAGAGAAGCTGATTGGGGGGTTGGGAGAAGGCAGCAGTGACAGGGATGGTGGGCTGAGACTAAATCTTCAAGGGAGTGTGGTGCTTTGAGGGAATAAGAAAGGGAGATTGGAAGAGCAATGGGGTGGAGAGCAGACCTATCCCCACTCCAGGCCTGAAATCCACGGAGTGAGAGACCACCAGCAGCTTGCGCTCAGGAAGTTGCAGAAGACAACCAGGTTTCAGGTGAGTGAGGGCAAGAAGATGGAGGCTTTGGGGATCTTGCTGACAACAGAGAGCAGGTCCCCGGGACACAGTGGGAAGGCTGGGGTGGGAGCGGGGCTGGGTCAGGTCAGGGTTTGTACAGAGCAGTTTGGCGCTAAAGGTCCTGGCTGTGATGGGTAATGTGGGAGGCTCGGATATAAACACCACCTTGCTTAACCTAAACTGTGCCCAATGCTTCTGGGGCGGACTAAAACCTTACACTGGAAACAGAACCTTAGAGGCAATTCATGTCAAACCCTCCAGTGGCAGAAAGGAAACCCAGGCCAGAGGAAGGCTGTGCACATATGAAGGGACAGAACAAGAATTCAGATCTCCTGTCTTCGAATCTATGGACTCACCTGACTGTCGTCTTGGGAGGTCAGAGCCCCCACCCTTTGCCCCATCCCTATCTTACACTTACACACACATACACACACACACACACACACACACACACACACACACACACACACACACACACATACACCCCTGACTCTGCACACCTCTGGGCACCAGTCCAGTCTTTGCACAGCTCTCTGGGTCCTGCAGACTCAGAGCCAATCTCCTAAGGTGGTCTCGGCAGAAAAGCTCTTTCACGCCCTTTCTCCTCCAAGTCAACAAGAAGACAAGGTGCATCAGGCCAGCTTCTCTGGGTGCATATGATGTCTCAACTCCACGCAACTTAACTTTCTCACCTCTCAGGAGTTAGGGCCCTTTGAAAAAGGTTTCTTCACTAAAAGCTTTGCAACAAGGCTCTGCTAAAAAATTTCAGCCACACTGACAGGGTTCAGATATTTCTTGTTTCTCTGGGCTCCTTAAACCCTTTTGAACAGGACAAAAGCTCCATAAAGCGAGTTTTCTAGCAGCCGTCTTGGGGGATTGGCATGGGTGTATAAACTGCTTCTGTGTCCAGGGATTTTCAACCTCAAAGAGGAGTTTCCAAACAATAATGTTGTTTTCCAGTCAGGATCCTAAGAGAAGTTCTCCCCTTAGCTTACCAGCACATAAATGTAGCAAGTAGGAAATATGCTTGAAAGTATGAATTCAATTACTTTGGAAAGGGACATTTATTCAACTAATGCCTTTGAGGAATTCACAGTTCAGTGGGAAACCACACACAAATGAACAATTAAAATCATATAATTAATATCATGGGATTATGCATGAAGTGCATGACTGGCGATTGCAAACAACCTCATGAGAAATCAAATCATAACAGTGCCTAACAGTTAGTGAGTGTTGGCTGCACACTGGGCTTCACAGGTATGAAGTCACTGATCTTATCCCCATAATTTGTTATGGGGATATACATTATCCCCATAATAATACATTATTGGAGATACATTATTCACTCGCATTTTCCAAATCATGCCTCTGAGGCATGGAGATGTCAAGCAACTTGCCCAAGGCCACAGATATGGGAATTCAACCCTGGCAGTCTGACTCTATGGTCTACGTACTTAACTGCTTTGCTTCTTAAAATGGTGGCCCATGAAATAACCAAAGTGGCTGCAGGCGGGGGTTCTCTAGTAAGCTTGGCAACTTAAAATATATGTATGATACCAAAAGGTGTATTCTCAGGATCTGTTAAATGTACAAAGTGAAGAGTCTATGACATGTCCAATGAAAACTGCATTTTCCTCCATCACTGCTCCCGTCTGAGCCCCTGGACAGCCAACCCGCCCTCACTTAGGTTGAGCAATTTGAATCTAGAGTTTATTGTAACTCCCTGAACACACGGGGCTCCTCATCCTGTTAAACTCCTATTTATCCTTCAAGTTTCAGTCCAACCATCATCTCCTCTTTGGAGCTCTCCCTCACTTGCTCAGAGGGACTTACACTCTCTGGATACAGAATCCTGACCCACTGAGTTTCCAGCGATCATTTTAGTCCTTTCTCATTAGGGAACACACTCTCCACATGTCATGAGGAACACAGAATACAGGGAATGAGAACTACATCTAGTTCTGGCTATGCCTAGGTCATCCAACAGTGCCAGCCTCTAACACGA